CTGACATTGTTTTGACGTTAAACGGGCTGTTTGGTTGCAGTGCGGTTGTGCTTTTGTTTGCTTTTTTGGCATAAATTTCCATGTTCCAAATTGGTATTTATTTTCTAAACCACCAGGTATTAAAGATTCCATTGAATCAATAAAATTTCACCAGTGCCTCTCTGGAACAATGGTGTTTCCATTTCAAACAATACCAAATGCTGTCTATATTTAGGCTATAATTAGTTTCCACATTTATATAAAGGAAAGGGAAGTTTCCCAAATTGTTAAACTGAATGATGAATGGAAATCGAAACTCGCTTTTTAAAGCCCTCCGTGAACGGCCATATGGGACAAACTTTGGGAATATTGCAAACACCGTTAAAGGTAAGGTATTTTAAGGTTTAGAAACCTTCAAAAATGTATTTATATCATTACACAAAGAAACGAAAATTAGGATTAGTCGAAACATTGCCAAATCATTCTTTACTGCATTGTTTGGCGTACACAAGAACCATAAGTGTTTAGTGTTAATAATCATTAGCATATTGTATTTACAACCCATTGGGTACATTTAGCATGAAATGTTGTTTTGTCATAAATTGTTTGTTAATTTTTTATGTCCCAGTTTTTTTAAATTCCCGAGAAAATAATCTTGATAAGGTCTCTTGACTCGTGCCAAGTAGAATTTTAGTTAGTTTAAACCTATTAAGATATTTTAGATATGGAACGGGGCATTTGCAAATCCATCAGTATGAATAGCAATACAACCCAAGATATTTTTATTTAAAATATTTAGGTGTTGTTTCCGCATACAACACAGAATTTGCTTTTGCAAAATTTTGTAAGTTTTGTAAGAAGTGTTAATTTTTGAAACTGCAAGGTTACCCGTGGAACATTAAAAAATAATTTGCTATGTGTAAGTTGTCCCCAATTGCTCGATTCAATTCAGTTTTATTAAGTTACGTTATTTTACTCGCATACCCGTTCTATTATTATACTCTCATTTTCTACGACCACAGAAAAGGTGTAGTTATTTAACTAAGGTAATTTTAGAGGTCCATAAGTATTTGATGTTTTGTCCAAATATAGACAAATATTTAAAGCTTTAGTTCTCAGTTTTATACAAAATTAATAAATATTGATCTAACACGTACAATGTGTTCGCTATGCTCAAATATTTGCCCGGTTACAACTTACAACCTTAATAACTGGTCAAACTTCATTTAAATGGAACACTTCATATTTGATGATAAAAACGATATTTAATTATATATTATGATAAAAACGAACATTTAACTCCCCCTACCTAATTTCTTCAGTTCATAAACTTTTTTAAATGTTTTTTTAGTCTTAGTTTAAAAGTTTTACTATACCAATGTTGCTGAATTTTTACTCGCAAATGTAACATAATCTGGTATGTCTGTAAATTAAGATTTAACTTGTCATCAATGATATCGGTACTTACTTTCAGTTGATCCGCAAATTTTGTTGTATTTATTTAGTATTTATAAGTTAGGCAAAATAGAGTTTATTTTGCGCTTTAGAAGCTCTCACCGATGGAATCTAAGAAAAGCATTTTGTACATTTTCCAGAATTTAGAATACCTAATACACTATCGATATTTTTTGTACAATTTTTAAAGTACAAAATTGTAACATAAAATTTATTGCGAATTTATGTAATTTATATGTTATGTAAAATATCAAGATTCGAAATGAATTAACTAGTTAATAATTGAAATATTTTGAATTTGGTTTAATAAACAGCAATTACACCGTCAACTACGCAAAAATAATTGACAATTATCAGAAACAACTGTAAAAGCAAAGCAGAAGCTGTTCTAAAATCGAAAAAATCTTACAAGCCTTAGAAACATGGTGATGTTTATAATCTTTTTGCCAATTTAAATTTAGTAAGTACCGACCTATGAACCATTCGTTCGTACCCTCTATAAAGTGTTTCGGAACATGACAAAAAATCAATAAAGGCTCCACATTAAAATAAGGTGAAAACATTTAACTACATCTACAGACACCAAGTAACCGCATTTTTGTAAAGTCGTGAAAAGTAAAACGTTATTCTGGACATATTTTTATTTCCTGCAAATATCTAAGTAGTTCATAAAATTTTAAATGGGCCCAAAACTAAATTTGAACAAATCCATATTAGCTTTTCATTTCATTCTACTTTAATTATTTTATTGGACATAAAATCATCTTCCAATCTAACAGATAGTGGTCGTGCCTAGAAAAGATTTATTCACACATAAATCATACAATTTATCAGCAATTTATTTTTCTGGTACATGATAACCTTTCAGAGCACCAATTGCCCAATGGCCTTTAAGAGCCCTCATTCGGTTTTATTTGAAATTGAAACACGATAGTACTTACCAAACGAGAGCCTTTTGAATTTTAGTTCTATAGTCTAAAATTTTAAGAAGAAAACCGTTTGAATTTAATGAGATAGATAGACCTTGACACCAGATCGATGAACAGTATCTATTTGTGTCAGCTTAATTTCAAAATCGCTTTCATGTTCTTTATTGTAAGTATGAACTTAAATAACTGGTTTATATTTTATTATATTATTTTAAAACACATTATAGGTATACTGTAAAATAAAATCTGAGTATTAAATACGTATGTATACTTTCCTGAACAAATAAATAAATTTAGACTTTACGAAAAGTATCAATTTAACTGATTTATGCCATTCTAAAGTGCGTTTTCAGCTGTTTTGAAACCTAAAACCATGCGCGTTTTCCAGAAATTGATTAAATAACATTTTAGAAGCTTATAACGAATATATTTCATCTTTCTACCTGCATTAAACGAAATGTTCAAAGCTAGAAAAACATACGTACCTCATCTTTGTTTTCAAAATACAATTGAACAAACAACAGTTATTTTTTACAAACTTCTTTTTGGGTATTTTGCCTCAAAAATTGTTGTCTTTAAAAAAGACAGTGTGTGTCGCAGGATACCCTCTAGGTGATAGTTCTTGATTACTTTTTGATAAATAATTCGTTCTTATTGCGAAATAGGAGCACTATTTATCAATCTGTAATAAAAGACGTGAGGAAATTCTGTCTTTTTTAAAGACAAAAATTTTGAGGCGAAATACCCGAAAAGAAGTTTGTAAAAAATGAATCCGCCTCAACAATATAGAACTTATCAACAGTTATTTTCAAAAATGAGAACTTTTCATATTCAATTCGGAAAACTTGATGGATCAGAAATTAAACTTTTATAAAAATATTCTGTTCAGAAACTGAAGATATAAAAGTATAAGCTTAAACAACTTTGACCTCCGTCTTCCCAAAATATGCAGAAGCTTTGGAAGAAAATTCATAGGTTACACTGGTCCAAAACTGATTAAAATATATGAAAAATATCATTTAATATAAAAAAGCATATTTTCAAAAAAGTAATATTCATCGACTGAAAATTCAAGTAAATTAATCTGGGATGGGGAGTGAGGTTGTGTGGAGCGAGTAGTGTTTAAGTGTATATTTGGTTATTTATTCAAATCCAATTGTCTAAAAAAATGACACATACAACAATGCATAATAACGAATAACAATGCTAAATATGTGTTCAATAGTTGCTAAATTTAAGGTAAATACGTTAGTTTATTATCTAAAATTAAATGAACAACACTTTATTTAATGTTTATTAGCTGATTGTGATGATTTGATATTGATGTCAAAATATTTTGTGTTTTAAATCTCAAACAATTTTGTCATTGGTTGGTTTCGGTTATTTTATATTTCGCTGTTCTTAGTCATTTATTTGGCACAAATCGTATTCAGCCGAAAGTCGCCGCCATCAACAAAAATTATTTATGGAAAACGGTAAAAAATTTTCAAAACCCAAGATAAATCATACATTTCGGAGCTCAGCTATCAATGGATAAAAGGAAGCCAGATGATAAGCCCCTTGCGTCAGACAAATAATTTTATTATATGGTTGGATAAGATGGGTGAAGCTACTTATGTACAATATGTCTAATTACTTAAATGATCAGAATATTTTACTGTATAGTGTGTTTGACGCTATATTATTGTGAAAGTGGTTGTATTACACTGTACAACCCAGTAAAATAAAAAACATGGTTTGTTAATTGCATAGGTAAAGGAATATTTTGTAGCAACTTTGCATGTAGGTCTAATCAATTTTGTTCAATACTTACATAATATATTTCTAGTGTGTTTCTAAATATTAAATGCATTTCTAGAAACCAGCTTGACGTTGTGTGCAAAAATATTTTGCATATCGATACCATATGCTGATAGTCGTAACCCAATTTAAAAACTTGGTACGAGGGACACAAAAAACTGCTAATAAAAAATAAATACTTGCTCGTGTAATGTTTTATGTTTTAATGTCAATCTGCTGTTTATTTCTGTATTTTTTATTTCTTATCTGTTAACAATGCAGTAATGTATGGTTTTTTGTCTTTTGCGCAGAAATATAATTTTTTCGTTTTTTTTGTGTGATACGTTCTATCAGCATTAAAGTGTCGAGATACATTTTATCACGATTCACATAAACGTTTATGTGTTTATTTATTGAGAAACATAGAAAATAATTTATGAAAAATGTTGACCTAAACATGAAAACAGCACTTGTAAAAAATTTCAGATGACCTGGCACTTGTTCAGCGTTTGGGCCTTACAAAAAACCTTCAGGGACATAAAGGTTGTGTGAATACCATTTGTTGGAATGACAAGGGTACTTTGATTCTCTCTGGGTCAGATGATCAACACTTGATGGTAACTAATGGATTTAACCATAAGATTGAAGCAAACTACTACACCAGTCACAAGGCAAATATTTTCAGTGCAAAGTTTTTGCCATGTACTAATGATCAGCAGATTGTTAGTTGTTCTGGTGATGGAATTGTTTTACATACAGGTAAGATATAATTTTATCAAACTAATCAACGTAAAAGTTGTTCAATAAGTCTAGAGCTATTGATTTTATTTGGATGTTGACCTAAAATGTTGAAAGGAAAGAAATGCTTAATTTCGGAAAGTATTCTTACATATACAAGGGGTTTTACATTTTTTTCTATGTAATGTTCTTTGATAGAACGTTTAATTAGAACGAATGTTTTTTCTTTCTGTCTCTACATTATAGTCCTTATATGTTATATTTATTTATTGAATCAAAATACAATAGAATCCGTTTTACGAGTCATTCGATTCTCGGAAATCACCAGAGATACGAGGTCGTTTACAAGTGTACATTTTTTTGCTTTGTGAAATGCCGTTTTAAAGCTTGGAAATTTCTGACTACTTCGGCAAAAATTCGAAAAACCGAATGTTGGAGAAAACTTTTTACTTTTTTTCCGAGCCTATTTGCAGTGATAATCGGAACTTTTTCGGGATCGGGTGAAAATTGTGTTTGATGTCTAAATCAGCCAAAATTAAATGCGTTTTCTGATTATGCATTGACATGTAAAAATCGATTTTGCTGTAAACCCGTGATTTTTTCCAAAGTGGATCGAGAGAACATTGACAGTAGACGCCTTATTTAGTGCCTTATCATTGGAGGCTTATAGTTCACAGTTATCTTATTGAGCATCTTTGTACACACTTTTTTATTATTTTTGGTCAAAAATGGACTCTCGACGTTTCAGACGGTATTTTATTGTATTACGTTGCTTTCTTTAATATATATTGCATATTTAATACCAGTGTATAATAATCGATTTTAGATCTAAGTCGGCAACAAGATACTTATCATAACCAATTTCTGTGCCATGGGGGTACCACTACTTATGAAGTAATGACAGTACCGGATAATCCGCATACATTTATGAGTTGTGGAGAGGATGGCACGGTGAGGTGGTTTGATCTTCGAGAGAAGAGCAGGTATGTGGAATAAGTAACTAATGCAACATAATCGACAACATTTAGAATTTCAATTGTAGTCTAATTTAAGGTTTTGGAAACTTGAATCCGCCTCAACTATCTAGAACGTATCTTTAAACTTTCAATTAGTTGATGACTAAAATACAGTATATAATTTTTATGGTAAATCTAGCATGAGAGTCATAAGGAAGAGTGTGAGCTTTTGATTTAAGCCACTTCCAATAAAGTTGAAATTTTGAAGAGATTATTACTGATATTTTAAATATAATATTCTTAATTGCAGTTGCACCCAACAGCGATGCAAAGACGACATTTTAATTTCTTGCCAAAGAGCGATTACTGCTTTGGCAGTGAGTCCTACCGCCAGTCATCAACTAGCTGTTGGTTGCGCTGACTCAACGGTACGAATTTATGATCGAAGATATCTAAGCGTAACGCCTGGAGGCAAGTTACATTTTCATGCTACTTGAAATTGGTAAATTTTAGTTACACTTTTCGCATTGTTACAGAACACTTGCTCGCTCAACCATTCTGCACGTTTATGGCCCCCAAATTTGGGGAGGAGAGACACTATCGGATCACATCTCTAAATTATGATAGTGATGGCAAAGATATGCTGGTCAGCTATTCATCAGATTATCTGTATCTTTTTAATGTGCAGGTAAAGTATTTCATGTAATTTGCTCGAAACGTTGAAGAATATTTAAAAATAATGCTTCAGGACTGCTCTACATCAGAGCAGAAAAAACCTACTCAGAAGCCATCAGCCTGGGATAAACTAAGGGCAGCTAGGGTAAAAAGAGAAAGAGTTTCTCCGCCGCCCGTTAGGAGACTAAGATTGCGGGGAGATTGGTCGGACACTGGACCCGATGCGAGACCCGAAAGAGATGTTTCCACTAGTGTTGGTGAGGAGAACTGTGACAATTTTTATACTGATACTGGCTCACTTGTTCAGCAGGGTTCTATTGGAAATTTTTTTTACAGGCATTGGTCAAGCTAGACCCCAGCTTCAAGCCACATTGATGCAACGGATGACAGATGTTTTATCCCGGATGTTGAATGACCCAATGACACGCGCTGCTCTATCTGCTGGTGGACAAGAAGCATTGGACCCAGAAGAAAATGCTCAAAGACTTTTGGACGGAAGACCGGACGCAGCGGGTAGAGTCCAGGTAACCAGAAAAAAAGTAGATTATTTTCGCTTTTAAAAATTTTTAGAGAGGATTTCCAGACTCGCTAACAGGTGATATTATTCACCTCTGCGAAATGCATCCTATGCATTATACATACATGTATGTATGCTGGATAAAAAATGGTTTTAACGGAAGCTTTTTACTTCACACTAATAGTAATTTCGGGTTTTGTGGATTAAGGGGTGAATGATATCACCGAAAGTTGAACAGCAATTTAATGAAGTTACGTTTTTAGTGTTTTGAGGACAAATCATTTATAAGAAAGGTATGGGGTTTACGCGAGCATTTCAATAAATTTGTACAGGGTGTCCCTGCAAGGGTAAAGACCCGGCTGTATGCTGTACAACGGTAAAAATTGGCGTTTTGGGAAAAATCCTTATAGGTAATGTTGGTACAAAAAATGGCTGGAATGTGTATTGAAGTTCGTAGCTCGACCGCTACCAAAAAATAAAAAAGTCACGGTATTTCGGAAAACGGTGAGATGAGCTATAACTTTAAAAACGTCATTTGAGAGCTTGGGTAATACCTCATCCTTTAGCTCTCTTTACCCTTATCGGGACACCTTGTATTTTTTAAAGCCATTTTAGCATAAAGAGTAAAATAAAGTAGATAAATATTTCATTTGAAGGACGGACCCTCAGGTGGGTTAGAAAGATCAGCTCAAGGCGTCGAAGGGTCATCTGGCAGCAATGAGGCTGCAAGCGTTTCTAATACCGCTCAGTAAGTGATAATTCTAATACATCAAATGTTCTTTATTGATAAATAATTCCTCTTTTTGACTACTTGTAAATTTTGTCCAATTTATTTTAAAGTTTAATTTTAATTTAGACCGCAAGCATCTGCTTCCGAACCCGCCACTCCCAATCAAGACACTTCAACATCGACCGCAACTAGAGATGGTAATTCTACAGTTACAAGTGAATTGCACGGTCATCTTGCCGCGCTGCGAAATTTAAGACAAGGATTTATCAACAGGCATGGAGCAGAGCCTTCAGTTAGCTTTAGGTATATTTAAAATTATCATACAGTTTTAAACAGTGAAATTTATAGCCAACCCTAAGGAGACATATTCATTTTCAGGTACTCTGATCAGAGCACATCAAGTTCTACAATAAGTCTACGTGCTAACAATCAAACTGCAGCTCCCAATGTCAGTCAAGCGAGTGCTCAATCTGCAAATACCACGGAAGCTGAACAGCCACCAGCAAACCGCTGCGATAGGAGCTTGGAAGTAAGTAGAAATTAAACTTGAGAGTTTGCAATATGAAGATGCTACATGCTAATTAGATAAATTAGCAGAATAAGATATGGATAGTATAAACAAATTAAGCTAATACATAATTATTTGCGAAACAACAATATCACGTGATTGTTTTTTACAGATGGATGTCGACTATCCTGAAGAAGAATCGGCTGCTTCTTCTTCAGAACCTGCTGTGGAAAAGACTGAAGATAACAATGATAGTTTTAGCATGTATGAAGCTGATGTTAGAAAAAAGTATACCGGACATCGAAATGCTAGGTAAGTAAGCGTAGTAAGTAGAATAGATTTATTCCTTGCAACAACTGTTTTATGTCAAAGGGGGTTTAGATGTTTTTTTGGTGTACGAGCTTAGGACTAACGGGTTTCAGCTTTGGTAACTTGCATGCAAAGTATTCGCTCTGCAAATATCAGTGATTATCCAATACTGATCGAATTCAATGGATCACTCTTTTTCATGCTACTTGTAAATGTAATAGCTATATGCTCCTGTTACTTTTAGGACAATGATAAAAGAAGCAACTTTCTGGGGCTCTAATTACGTTATGTCCGGTTCTGATTGCGGACATGTATTTATTTGGAATCGTCACACAACCAAACTGGAAATGTTACTGCAAGCAGACCAGCATGTTGTTAATTGCCTAAGACCACACCCGACTTTACCTATACTGGCCACTAGTGGTATAGATCATGACATTAAGCTATGGGCGCCTATACTTGACGATTGTGGATTCGATGCTGAACAAGCGGAAGATGTAAGTTTTTTTAACTAAGCAAAAAAAACATGTCTGAGTAGACTGAATTTTTTTATATACAGGATGTCCCTGAAGTGATAATATCAGGAAAAAAAGAACATGGAAAATTATTAATTCTGAATAACTGAACTAATTTAATTCGTTTAACAAGTGTTCAAAATGTTGACGGTTTTTCCGAACACATAAATTAATTATTTTCGTCGTGCATAAACCACATTTCGGCACGAAGTTGTAAATGAAGATCTTTCAATAAACCAGGTGAAGTGTATTGGAGGACGCGTAAATAGTTGTCTCCATTTAGTCGGTTTCACCCTGATAGCATGAGGAAGGGGAATTATTTTAACCACGTCTTCTAGGTGGGAAAACAACACTAGTTTGCTATATAAACGATAAATGGTTAAAAAACGATAGCCCCAAATAACAAATTTCGTTAAAACACGTATAGAGATATTTTAACGAAAATTTCCACGGATCAATAGGTCGGGGAGAAGTCGCATGTTTTACAATAATGTGCAATATAATGCCTGCTAACGAAATTGTTTTAGACAAACTGATGGTAGTGAAAAACACCGAAAGTTTTTACGAAAATTGACTAAATTGTGATATTAAGGAATTTGAATTAAAAAATATTGTTCGAAACAAGGGCAAAAAATGGATTTTTGCGCTCGTGTCGAACAATATTTTTTCCTCGAATGAAAGATATTCGCGACCTAAATGTCTGATATTCAAATTTCGTGTAACTTTTTGTGACAAATCCTCCAAAACTTACCCACGCACGTTGTTATAACTGAATCGAGTTTACAATTATCTATCCAATGATATGAAAAAGAACTCTTTGACTCAAATGCTTCTTGTGGAACGTCAAAAAAGGTGGCGTCATGTTTCGATCAATTTCGCAAATTAAAAAAAAAACAGGCAAAACTAAAACTCTTAACTTTTAAGAACAGGAACCCATATTTTCATATCTGAAACGGTTCTTTGGAGACAGGTGGAGTTTGATGTAAGCATACAAAGCCGTCCAAAATATTCCGAAATTTTAAAAATGTCTTGTGGAGGAATCAGTGGTTTAATGGGAACCAAATCCACACTATCAGTAAGCTGATGCTAATTGTCTGGAATACTGGAACCTAAATTTCCATATCTGAAGCGGTTCTTTAGTGAAAAGCTTCAGATGAGCTTAATATAAAAATACGAAGCCGCCCAAAATATTCCCAAAATTTAAAAATTAACTACGAACTGACGAATAGCTCAATCGATACCAAATCCACCCTACGAGTGAGTTGATAAATATGCTAAGCTTACCAAAAGCTACGCAGTGCCACCTGGAAAGAAAAAAGAAAATGTGTTTAGTACAGCAGGAAATCTATCCAAAGCCAAACTTATTTGAAATCAGCAAAGCAAAGAGAGAGAAATATAGAGAATTCGTAAAAATTCAGTTGCTTGTCGGAAAACTTAACTCAGTTCAGGCTGAAAGATTTATAGATCAGAGATCATTCTTACCAGCTTTTGCAAGCTTGCTACACCATCTTCCATTTTCTACCCACAAATCTTCCAAAACTTCACTATACTTTCACAAACTACCGCACTTGCCATAAGGGCCGTAATGATTCTATATTTTCCATTTAACCCGATTCACACGACACAAATTATTAGCAAGCGAATTCGTCCACTGTCGGTAACAAAGTGAACACTCTTAGACCTTTTCGAGAAAAAATTACCCCAAACTACAGAATAAACATGATTATTTAACCATCTAATTGTTCGCCCTTTCGATGATTCATGCTTTACTTGGCAATTCGATTTCAGTTTGTTTATTATTGACATTTTGGTAGAAAGTGCGTGTTCGCATTGCAATATTTGCAAAGGCAAATTTCACGTTGCAACTTAACGAATGTCAACAACAACTAAACTAAACCAGCTCTAAGTGCCGATCTTTCACTAATTTCACTACATTTGTCTGAATTTCACTTTAGTGATTAATGGACAACGCCAAAACTAAAATTAATAAGCGAATTACTTTTGTTTTCTTAAAAATGTGTACAAAACCGCGAGAAAATCACTTAAAAATTAAACGGTTGCTGAATTTCTGAGCGATAATATAAACCAACGAAATTCCAATTAATTAAGAATGTTCTCTAAAAGTCGTGATTTCAAAACAGAAACACCCTTTAAATCCGTAACGAAGCATTTTTGAGCCATAATTTATATAGCAATCTAGGGTTATTTTTGGACGTAGAATAAGTGGTTAAAATAATGCCCCTTCCTCATGAAATACCTTGTATATTGTTTTCATTATGTGTATGTATAAGTTTTCAACAAAAGCCTTCTTTGAATTGGAAGCAGATGTGATTTTTCGAATTGATTGATGACATTATGTACCAAAGTATATAGTCCTATGGTATACTTTCAGTTAATTAGCAGAAACGCAATAATGCTAGAAGAAACTAGAGATACCATCACAGTGCCTGCCGCCTTCATGATACGAATGTTGGCGTGTCTCAACCAAATCAGACGAGGAGCCCGGATCAGAAACAGGCGATATAGCATTGAAGAAGATAGTTAAATATCTGAAGCGTTGGCTATGCTTCCTTTATCGTGAGGCATAAAACTACGTTATATTAACAATATGAAGGCAATTGTATTTCGAAACACCCCAATTGCAAAAGAAAAATTTCTATATGTTTCATTATAATATCAAACATGAGTTCGAAAATCGACCGAATGGGAATATGAATCGTGAGTTTTGTTTTCTTATTATCTGTGTTCAAAGATGCTTCACTTAGACGAAATTCTGAATTTCCGTTGTTTCAAATGTTAATTGTAGCTTATTCGAGTTTGCTTTCCAGCAATAATGTGATAAAGGAATTTAGGATGTGAACTGATAAGTTATTCAACAGTTATACATATTAAATCTAATTATATTTATTATAAAATTATCACATGTCAGCTACTTTTGTTCTAGTTCAACCAGCCGACTGGATTTGAGTTTATATGACAATGCTTTTATTAAAATTCAATTTTTAGTAAATTAATAAAAAAATATTACAAATCTAAACAATGTTAGTAAATTGTCGTCTTTATTACTTCAGACAGTTGATGTCCTCAAATATTTTTGCACAGCACGTCTTTTTGGAACCATCAAATCAGCGTCATTTCTGTTATTTCCGTCCAGCTAATCGCAAGTTGTAGAAGAAGGCTATTCAGGCAAATAAAAAATTGAATTTTTCGATTGACCTAATATAAGTATTAATAATCACGTAACATGTCACTTCGGCAAACACACACCGTATTAATACCTATACAAATGTATTATTATGGATTTTAAGCAAGTTCATACCTATCTATAATGACTTCCAATCAATAAATTTATCGAAATACTAACCCCATATTCTTCAATAACAGAATCGAATTCTGGAGGCTCCAGAATTCAGTTCAGTTATTATTTAATTATTGTTTTCAAAGTGTTGACTATAATCAGATTGGGTTAGTAAATTTTTTAAAAATATATTTGTTTTGTGCCCTAATAGAGGATGTCTTTAATTGCTGTAAATTAAGTACCTGCCTCTGTTTTGAAATTATGCTGATAAATAAAAAGGTCAGGTTTATAGTGCGATTAGCTATTATTCATTTTTTTTAACTAAGTAATAAAGACAGCTTGCCTCTGCTAAATAATTGAATGCAACAATGCCTTTAATCAGCCTATTAATACTGCATACTCTTGGAATGTTTTTAGATCAATTCGTTATAGTAATCCTAATAAATGTAATTTATTTTTTTACTGTAGGATCATAAATTAAGTGTGATATTATTTGAACTGAGAAAGATATTAGAAGTGATCTGTTTTGTTTTTTAGTCTTAAAATAAAGATTACTTGAAATATTTGGGTGCGTTGAATATTTTTCCTTATTAATTTCATTTCCGGATTCGTATTCGCTTTTTTAATGAGCCTACACGCTATATTTTGGACAAATTCTAAACACAAGGCTCATTCTAAAAGTAATTTTCAGTATTCCGGATCTCCGACAAGGTCGGTCTGTTTAAATGTTATGTTTGTTTAAACGCACCACCGTGCAGATACACGCACGAAAAATACTTCATAAGTTCACAGTTGAGCGATTAGTAGAGAAGAGTGCTCTAAATGTAGTCAAAATTCACATTCAAAAAGTCAAAAAGAACTATTTCGGGACACATTTTGAATTGAGTTTTAAAAAAATAAATTTCTCAGAAACAAAAAATACTCTACAAGTTCATAGTTGTACGTTCAGTAAAGAAGAGTGCGCTCTAAATGTGCCAAAAATTTCTTAAAATTCGGTCAAATCACATGAAATCCAGAAGTTTGCGCGCTTAGTGAATGTTGTTTTGAAAATGAATGGTTTTACGCAACTGTAGACTCTTCAATAACAAATTCGAACTTCCAAACTAAAGCCAGTAGAAACTTGAAAGATTGAAATTCTGTAGGAATTTTTATGAAATTTTGGTGTAAACTTGCACGTAAATGTCTGATCAAATTTCATGTAATTTTTCAATTCTACCAGAATTTACGCACGCCGTATTAATTTCTATCAAAAAGAGATAAATATAAAGAATCCATCAAGCTTCAGTTGCTTATCGGAAAACTAAACTCAGTTCAAGCTAAAATATTTATAGATGCGAGATAATTTTTACCAACTTTCTGCGAGCTGGCGCCCCATCCTCCATTTTCTTCACGTTAATCCGCAAAAAGTTCACTACACTTTCACAAACTACCGCAATTGCCACTCGCCATTCAAACGGCACTGTTGGAAGCAAACTGAATATTTATACATCTTTTAGAAAAAATGCACCGAAGTGCAGAATAAACATGATTATTTAATAATTTGCTTGTTCGTCCGTTCGATGATTCATTGCTCTGCTCTTGCTTGGCATTTCGATTTGAGTTTGTTTATTGTTGACATTTTTGTAGCAAGTGCCTTGTACATGACAGTATTTCCGAAGACAAATTTCACGTTCCAACTTAACGAAAGTCAACAACAACTAAAGGAAAAAGGCCCCAAACGCCGATCTTTCACTAATTTAATTTTAAATTTAGAGTCATTTATTTGTCTGAATTGTATTCAGCTGCAGTTATTAATGCACAAAGCCAAATGTAAAATTGATAAGCGAATTAATTTTGTATTCTAAAAATATTGACCAAGCACATAGACAACTGTTTTGAACCAATTTTTCCACATTTCCTTGAATATTTGGCCAAAAAATGTGGTGGCTTTTTTAGGTGTTAAAATTCCAGTCCCCGGCCCACTAAAGCATTAATCTGCCCCCTGGGTGTAATGCTAAGTGTAATCCAAAATGCGGCGCAGTGAGACGCTGTGAGTTATAACTCATTAGCGCACAAAGCGACAACAACTCAAAAGCGCAACTCAATACAGTGTTACGCAAGGCTAGATTATAGTATCAGGACTTTAACGTTCGATACAAAATCCAATTTTAAGATGAAAATATCAGACACAAACATTTTTTGAAACACCGGGTTCACTGGCAAAGTTGAGATTCTATTTTATTTTTTAAATAATTCATGCAAGTCTTATTCTATATTCTAGGTCTGTCCGTGTTCTTATGAGGATGGCCCTAATATTCTCTATAGCTGACTTCCACGTTTAGAGACGTTTAGATGGTAGCTTTAAAAAAATGTTCAGTACAATTCAATTGTGTTCTGTCGCAAAAATAATGAGACTATTTTCTGCTGTCGTTATCAATTTTTTTTCTTTGAAAACTCTGATTGTATCATCGCATTTGGTTTGTATCAACCCACATCAAATTAAGAAAGTATTATACATAATATCTTGTTGTGGTCCGGAGGGTGTCTCACCTGGCAAGACTACATCGGGACGCTTATTAGACGCGGGATTAGCTTGGAGGGCAAATCCGTGATGATAATTGGCTGGATTGTTATTCAATACTAGGCACATAAGTTAATACTAGATTTTTGATGCAAATCAGGCCAAGCTTAAGTTCAGTCTGATGTATTTAAACGTTTTGCAATTTATAAAATATTTATTTAGATGGCACTTTGGTCGTATATGTAGCATTTATTTGCTAAGCCTTTGAGAATTAACATGTATAATGTGTTTGGCATATTTTTTGTTTCGTTAAACGCTTTTCAATTATTTATTGAAAGTTTGTAAAAATATTTGTTTCGGCATTTAGATAATATGAAACAAAACTCTACGGAAACAAGCATTTTCCACTATATTTTAATAAATGATTGGGTTGTGATCGAAATTAAATTTGCTCTGGAATCTGGGCATCACATGTCTGAGTATATTTTATATCAACTATATAAATTAGATTTCAATTACCAAATGCGTGATTACATTAGTAATAGATATAAAATATGTTGAAAGCGCTCATGACTAATTTCGGGATTACATCTTCAAACTACTAACATTGATATAATTTTCCAATTTTTTGCTTACATAATTAATTTAAAGAGTGCCGCTTTTAACAGTTTTTGAACTTGTTAGTTAGTGATAATGGAACAAAAAAATATGCAGATGTATTATACCCTCATGTGACACCTGTTTACCAGATTTATTTATTTGCTTATACCGTATTAACTCACTATGAAAGAAATCACCTACGCTCGCGAGCTTAATGTTAATTCGATTTATTAATATTGACATGTGGCAAAATTAACAAGCAAATACTTCGCTTTTCTAATGTCGACTTAGGAAAAATCAATGGATAATGTACAGTAAACAATTATTTTGCGATGGGCTAAAAGCGTTTTCTGTTCGTTTTTTCACTCGTCAATTTGGTACATATTTAATAAAATTTGCTTCAATAGGTTTAACTTTTCATAAACGGTTCATTGCATGACAATCGTGGAATCTCCAAGGCCCTTGTTGACAAAAATAACATTTTTCCGAGTTCTTGGGAAAATTAGCAAGTAATGATTCTAAGGCAAAGTAAATTAGCGGCCAGAAAGCAACTCTTGTTTTATGTGTCTAACAGTTTTTTCCAATTGATCTTCTAATTGGTGTTTACGATTATTAAGCAGACATTGCAAACAACGTAACGTTTTCGGTAAATGGGCTAATCAAAGAATTTTCCATGATAATTATAAACTTGTTATTGCTGATAAAATGGGAAACATCCAAAGAAAACTTAAAATAATTAAAATTGCGCTGCTTCTAAAAATTTGCATGATTTAAATCTCCAGATAATTTTTTTCACAGTGAAATTCAGTCCATTTCCCCATATCAGGTAGAATTAAAGCATTAAAAAAACATTGTCAATAACGCAGGTTTACTACGTTCTAATTGCACTAGCAAACATGAACCAATCGGAAATCTCATCTAGACGCTCAAATATTTCTTATGACACATTCGCAACTTTTCCGTATAATAATAAATCTCGATAGCAAAGGTGTATTAAAAATTCTAATGGAATTTTTTTCCTCGCTTGTTTTGGAAATTATCAATTTGAAATTCAAATTTTATTTAAATAAAATTATAACGATTAGCTTCTTGAATGCCAAAATCAATATTGATTTGTCCCTGATTGGAATCACACGGTGTTGAATTATACATCGATTGTATTTTAGCAAACACTCATAGTTCAATTTAGTTAGAAGAGCTTTGATGTAAAAATTCGTTTTTAATAGGTTTATTTCATTTACATATTTTGTTTGACACACTTTGTTATGTTTATTTATTTTATTTTTTAATTAGGCCCCGAAAAATCAACGTTCTTAATACAGGGTGACTAAATTCCCGTGATTTTAATTTGTGCATTTCAACTCCTTTTGTGAGTTTTCTTTATTTCGCACTATTCGGATGTACGAGACTCACTCTTGATACACCAAGTTTTGTGTTTATAACTGGAGTCGGAATATTTAAAAATCCCGCCTTGCCAAACCAATTTTATAGTTTCGTAAATAAGTACTCAATAGATAAGACAGTATATGTATCTAATACACAACAACCGAACTAAATTAGTTTATAAAAGTGCATATTTGAACTTAATTTGTCTACTTTCAGATTCTAATTTGGAGGGTTTCATTGGTTGACTAAGTTCCCATTGTATCAAATCCATATGATGCTGTTTCTTCATTTTCTTTTAGTGTTTATTTTTCAACAACACCATTATGAACATTTTTCAATGCTTATTGCATAAACGGTTTGTATTTGCGGAATTAATTTTGAAACACTTGCAAGAGACGTAAAAAAATAAGAAACGTACCAGACGAAAACATAAATATGGACCTCAACTATACCAATAAACAAGTATTTACTTAAGAAAATGATGCAATGCCAATGGATATGCAATAACGTGTGCTAAAATGGCCTATGGAATCACGAACGGTTGGGGAAAGCAAATTTACATATCAATTTGCCGCGGCTAATAACCGCAAGGTTCCAGAATCCTGAATAAGAGCTAAAAGAGCGAAAACAGTAGCATTTGCGGTAAATAGGGCAAAAAGAAGTAAAACAAAGATTGGTAGAAATTAATGAAGTAGTGAGTAGTAATGAGACTCATATTTGATGATGAATAAAATCGGTCCTTTGGAGGCACTTGACTCTCCATTGTGTTAGTAAGACGCTTTAACAATGCCATGGTGTTGAATACATTTTCTTTCAATCCCGATGTGCCTTTATTTTCAGCATATTTTGCCTCAATTTTAATAGGCCCCCGCAATGTTTTCGGTTAATTAGCAGGCACCCCAAAAAAAAAACAGATAAATGTGATGTTTAACGCATTACTGGCCGAAGTAAAAAACGCACATTTCCAGGGCCCGAGTGAGAAACTCTTGCTTGTTCTTCAATTTGTTGTCGTAAGCTGTCGACGACAAATTTGTATGAATGTAAAACGACGAAGAAACTGATTCATTGCAAGCCATTAAATAGATCGAAGAAAACCAGGCCTGTTGGGCATTCGCTCGTTGGAAGATCCAATCAAAGTGAACAGTCCTGAGCAAAGTTAGTCATCCAATAAGCACAGCTCTAAATTTGTTTAATCAGTGGAACATGTTTGCCAGCAACGCTATCTAGATGAACACTATATGTAATTTAAAAGTTATGGCTTTTGCCAAATGGCCGTAAAAGTCATAATTCGCTCTTATCAAGTAAAACTAGATTGGAATTCAGGAACGCAACTGGCATCGGTTTTCTCTCTCGCACGCACAGACACCTTTCGGAGCTGCCAGATGGCCGCGCTTTGCTGCGTTCGAAGTTGACACCTTCACAGCTTAAAACATAACAGTTTCTAGCTAAGGAAAGTTTGAAAAAAATGTTTAGGTCAATTTTGAATCCCATTGTATAACACAGGGTTTTTCTAACAGCATTCCGCGGAACACCAGTGTTTCGCTGAACCTGAACTGGTGTTCCGTAAAAATTGGTAAATGATTATGCATTGCAACACATTTAGATTATCTTTTGTAGGTTTATCAATAGCATGTCTTTGGAAAAAGGCAACTTACACCATTTTCAAAGTAATTATATTTGCAAGTTCATTAACTACGAAAATTGCGAGTGGTAAAAACATTAAAAATTTTAACATATTTGTTGGAAAAAAGTTTTCAAATAAAAAGTTGGTAGAAAGTTGTATTCATTTTCAAAGAAAACGACTCATATTGTTAAAAGTTTATTAAATGTGGTAATTGACGCCATTTTCTAGTTTTCGCTTTAAGTTTTTGTCAACAGGTACTTTACTAAATAAACCAACATTTAAGCTTACCAGAATATTGACAACATTTAGATCCAATGTTGTACAGTTCTGCTAAGAAATGTGATAAATTTTACGTATGTTACTTTTTTTTTCTATCAGAGAATTTAAAATATTTATAATGTATTTGTCCAAGGCTCTGAAACTGAAGGAATATTCAATTGTGTATTATTAAATTCATCAAAATGTAATTTCTTAAGTCTGTGTGCTGTTAATTTTATGTAAAAAATAACAATTGCAGTCACTCGCATTTTCAATAATCACTCATTTTTCCTATAAGGGAATGTGTGCTACATAAGTTGAGTTGCATTTCTTGTTGAAAAGGATTTATTTTAAACAAATCAGCAATAACAATAAAGTAAACAATAATAAAGTCTGTTTCCAAACTCCTTCATAACCTTTCGGAACACTTTACCGGGAATTGACCGGCATTCTGCTGCAATTGGCCTTTTAAGATCATCGATATCAGCAGATTGTGTTTTATAGACAATGGACTTAAGATGACCCCAAATAAAGAAGTCTAAGGTGTTGAATCCGGTGATCTTGGAGGTAATTTAACTGATCCCCTCCTGCCATCGATTTATCCTGGGATATATTATCAATGTTGGGGAGGGTTCAAAAATATACTTTATTATTGTTTGCAGGAAAATAAACGACTTTTGATCAGCTAATTAGATAGTGAGTAAGTAGATCCCATGGGTTTTATTGTAGAAGTTAATCTTCCGTAAAGAAAAGTGATTTTTCTCGAAGTAAAATAATCAATAAATCCAAAATAAATCGTTAAACTCGATTTTATTTCTGTTACTCAACGATTTTAACGGTGTTACCGAATCTTCTAATCATTTGTACTATAAGGAGACTCAATGACATAATTTTTGTTTACACAGTAATCTGAAAATCAAAATCTCAATGCAGGCAAGTTTAATTGTTTCTGTTATTTTAAAACGCGATTATTCGAAAACCTCTGAACAAAAAGCAACAAAGTAGTTACTAGTGTAAAGAGACTCGAAGGCCCTTTAAAACGATGTGCCACTTGATGCCCCCTTCGCATTTAAGATTCTAAGGGTGACATCTATCCGTCCTAAGAGGTTAAAAATGTGACTTTCAAGTGTCCCCCTTACAAATAAAATTGACGGGTCTTCTCCGATTTTTCATATTTTAAACTGCAAGAAATATATTAAAGGTTGGACGTTTTCAAATTGACACCCGGTATAATAAAACACAAGTCAGCATTATTGGCCTAAAATCTGCATGGCAAAGTAATGCCGACCATCAAACTTGATTTTTTTCTTGAAAAACTAAATTCAATTCAAGCTATAGACAGATAATTTTTTACAAGCCATCCGCAGGCTGGCGCCCTGTCATCTATTGCCTTCTCATGAGTCCTCGAAAGCTCACACTACACTTGAACATACAGTTGACAGTATGACCCCTTTTAATATCTATGGCGAGTTTGTAATGAGAGAGTCCTTAGAGGGATGGTTTGGGGTTATAACAGTAGTTGGGAAAAGATATCCAACTTAAAATTTACTGACGGTACCACCCTCATAGCGGCAACGGAACGAGAACACGAACGCAACAAAGCATACTGATAGTCGATAGATTTAACACTTTTGAATTGACCGTTTAAATGAGATCGAAATAAAAGACAAATTTAATTAACTAGGCTCCACCTAATAATGGAAACTGCGATACAGAAGTTGGAAGACGCATTGGCATGGCAAAAAGGGCCATAAGTCGACTCACTAGAAAATGGTAAGATCGATCGATTTTCCAAAAAATCAACATTCAACATGAGACGCCTTTTGAATGTGGTGGTGACGAAGAATGTTGTGAATATCTTGCACAACTCAGTCGCACAAACGTTTCTATTTTGAATAAGTTCAGGATAGAAACCAGATTATTGTCCAGTCCGGCAGTTTTTTGGGCATGTGGCTCGCAGAGGTGGGGATTACCTAGAGAAACTGATCATCTCTGGAAATCTCTCAGGAAGAGATAGATCGCCAACCAGTTGGACTGATCAAGTTCAACAAAACGGAGGCCGCTCATTTTGTGAAGCCTTTCGGGATGAAGAGGACAGAGCAAAATGGAAACAGCTGGTCAAACATATTGGGGCAAATCACGATTTTCAATAATGACGAACCAACTAGAGCGAGAGAAAGAGGACTTAATGTCCTCGTCATCGGAGGTGGATCTTGAGGTAAACGTTGTCCAGACTAAGATAATTAGCTAACAATAGAACATCGAGAAGTCCAGGGCCAGCTTATAGCAAATGTGGACGATTAAGCTTGGCATAGATAGCCAAACGGCGGATATTTCCAGGAAAATAGTGTTGAGGGGGGACAGTCTTTGGAAAGCTCCATTAAATATTTGAAGACCCTCACCTGTCTATATGCTTGAAAAGGAAGGTCTATGTGGCTGACATCCTACCAGTTTCAACCTACGGTTTATAAGCGGCCACGCTGACGGAAAGGAATGTAAAATCGGCACAGCGAGCCCCATAACGAAGAATGCTTGGAATCAGCTTGAAACATAAAATACGAAATGAAGCCATTCGATGCAAAAGAAAAATAACAGGTATAATGGATCGCGTAGCACACTTCAAGTGGCAATGGGTGGCCACACAGAACGATGGTAGATGCCAGTAGAACCAGCAAAAAGATCGCTAGACGATGTAAAGAAATAAATGGGTTATCGCTGGCAGACATAGCCCAGGATTGAGAAGCATTAGATTAGAAGAGGCTTAAGTCCTACAAGGGACAGTAAATTGCCGAAGAAAAAGCACTGTAAATAAATGTTAAAAAAAACTTTATATGTATATCTCCGAACCTATTACTTTGCGGACTTATTTCATTAGCCTTATCTAAGTCCATATTGTAATATGTAATTAGTAAAATAAGTCAGGTTTATTGCGCTTTTTTAAAGTCATTTTCAAAACTGTTTTTAATTACCAAGCTAGTATTCCAGATTGCAAACAGTTTAATAGAAAAAGCTCCACGTTAATGCGAACATTAGGGATTTCCAACTTTTTATATTAACTAACATTCTTATTAATAATCCGTTCTTCAGCACCGTTTTGGTCAGGTTATCCCATCCTAATTAATTTGGCGAACTGATTGTGGCGATGGATTTGCTATAGGCAAACTGGTTTGCTTGCCTAAGGAAAACGAGAAAAAAATTGTAGCTGGTGCTCTGGCCACGTGACTGGTACTAACAAAAGTCGAATCAGTTTTGAAGCGCACCTCAGTTCGTGGCGGTACTTTTTGAAAATAAAAACTTCTTTTATCTGCTGCTCGATTTAGTGATAGTGATCTGAGGAATCCGCAATAAATTGTGCTCGGAGAATAGCCATTAGAATGCCCGTAAATAGAGATCGAAGAAGCAATTCAGTTGCATTTGTGTAAGTACTTATCTATCTGTATATTTTTATATGTGAATTAACTTTTCCTTCGATGCCTTAAAAAGCACGCAACTTTCTCAATTGTATTTAAATTATTCTATTTTATCATCAATTCTGGCCGAATAATTTGGACCAAATGTAAGCTGGAGCTTACAGCAAATATTTGTTTAATTTGATGCGTAATCTATTTTCACGTCATTTTAGGCGATATACAAATTGTTTAATAAATTAATTCTGCATATAAAAAATCCGATTTTCTTATAAAGTTTTCGCACTGACATATACAAACAAAGTAATAATGGACTGGTTTCGAAGGATTTCCAAATTCAAGTATTCAAAGACATAAACCGTCGGAATAATCAAAAAGAAATTGAGGCCACAAAAAGAAGGGTAAAATAAGGTCAAGTTGAAATATGCTACTTAAAAAATTTCAGAACTTTTTGCTGACAAAAAATTATTCATCGACGCATTTTACACAAATCAATTAACCGCATATTTATCAACACATAACTGTGTTGAGTGCAAGATGTTCAATAGTAAATCGTTGGAAAACAGGTTTGACTTAATAATTAATTTAAATTGAAGTCAATCGAGCTTGTTTGTCGTTAATTCACTTACTAAACGTTCCCAAAGCTGCTATAAATTAAGTCAATCCTCAAAGCCATTGAGTAGCGGAACACATCGAACATTCCTGATTAATTTTTGTTGGCTTCACCCTGTATACTTACTTACTTTCGAATATCGCAGCAAATATTTTTCGCAAGTTTCAAGGACAAGGATATTTGTTTCGAAGACTTTTTTACAGGCATAATTGTTTTATTAATAATCAAACAGCAATATAGCAAAAATTAATCTGGCAGATTTACAACTAACAAACTTGTTTGGGAATAACAACTGGTGCGATTTATTAGAAAATTAAACACAACTACCTATACAATATACTACTATAAAGTACAGGTGAAGGACTTTTTTCTTTGCTGCCGCGGTTCGTTACGATTTGGACAATGAATCGGATTGATGATTGTCTTCTACTCCTCACATCAACTTTGAGCTTCATAGGATAACCGATATACTCCAGTTTTTCTTTAATGACCAGAACTTCTTTAATGAATAAGGAACGATCCCTGGGATTTATTTTTAGTTGCTTTATAATGGATGCATTTGCTTTGCTGCTGCAGTAATAGTTTAGCTAATATTGAAGGGAAGGTATTTTCATATTTTAGCTACTTTTGTGAATGGAGATATTTTCATTCCAATTGGTCTTCTGCCTTGCAAATGTCCTTTTCACTGCCTCCGCTATTCGTAACGCACGCACCAGTTAAATCTTATTCGTTTCTATGTGTGTTTGCCAACAGTCGCAAAACCTAAAACAGTACTCTCGCTTTATCGATGACCGTTAGAAAGCATTTACTTATATTGAGTTTTACGCGTGACTTTTTCTGAGTGGTATCGTCAACTTAACGCAAATTGGATATTTTTCTACGCCTGGTTAATTTTCTTCCCAACCATGATCCATCCACCACATTACAAGAAAAGAAAAAATGAGATTACATGTTTAACTCCTTTATCGATTTAAAAACTATTGGATAATTTATTATTTACTCGCATATAGGTTGTAGGAAACGCGTAAAGGTTTTTTTAAATTAAGACTAACAGATGTTCTTGCATACTAATGTATTTTCTTCTGAAAATATTTGTTTTGAGGACAGGAAGGATTTAAGTGTTCCTGAATCAGATTATTTTGCTTATATGGATATGGCTCGGTAATTGGAACAGTTCTTGTTGTTTCCGTCCTTTCGTAAAAAAAGTACTATTTAAGGCCTCCAGTTCAACTTGTTCATTCACAATTGGTTGATGATGTCAGCCCCTTTTTTCCTATTACTTGCCCTCAGCCTCTCCAATATCACGCCATCGGGTCCGGTGACTTTATTATTAAGCTTTTTGTATACGTCTTCTATTTTGCTGCGTAGGATGAGGATTTCTGTATATTCTTAGTCTGTTGATATGTAGATATTCTGTATTTTCAGGTTTATCGGTATTCTGTTGATTTGTTTCTGTTGTTCTTAGGATGTCGTGGAGACATTAACGGAAATAAATTGCAAATAGTTTCTCTCAATATTCCTGCGACTGATCAAGGTTTCAATGCATTTACAATCATTTTGCAAGTAAGATGAAAAATATAGCACTTCAAGAGCAACTCAAATCACCCTTAAATGCTTGTGACTCTCAGTAGAAAACTGGTCCAAGTATTTATTATTTTTACATAATGTTATTTGTATCTACATTTTTGTTTGTTTGTATGTATTAATGTATCAGCAGATGAAGACCAAGCGTTTTAATGAGACCCTTAATTATTTATTTTCCATACTTCTTTATATAAAATAAATCAAATAATCAGGTAAATTAATTTAAATATCTTCAAATATTAGAAGTTTCTTAATATTTGTTTGCAGTGATATCAATGAAACGCGAAGGAATTCAGCTGATCCTGGTGATAATCGTAGAGGATCAGAACCTTTCGCGTATGACAATCCAACGCTTGTAGCCTCATCAAGTAACTTGCATGATAACTTTAATGGATATATTGCTCAAAGGACTCACATGGCTGGCAGCAACAATTTTACAGGTAAGAATAGCGGTAAAATTCAGTTATAACTCCTAAATCATCAAGACTTTTAAAAATTTCAACGTTGGAAAGTAAAAAAATAGTTCGTTTGTTTGGCTTCGATTGCATCGAAATAAAAAAAATCAATTCCATTTCTAACAATTTTCATGTAGATTCTCTTTCGAATTATTAAAAAGTAAATGAAATCGAAATTTTCAAACATGTGTTTGATTCAGAATTTATTATTGTTAAAAGCACAAATGCAGTTTTTTTCTAGTCATTCAGTTTCAAAATCTACTTTATAAAATACTTCTATTGTACGTACACACACATTTCTTTTTCGCTTTTAAGTTATTTTATCTTAATAAGTGTTGTTTTTTAAACTCCAATCCGACGATTCCCTAAACTAATTAACTAAACATTACGTAAATTCTATTGGAAATTTTGATTCGATTCAAAGACGATTTTATTTCGCTTTCTGTTAATCTTGTGAATTTGGTAACGTTTTCTTTACGTGTAAAACTCAAACATCATCTCAGATGCTCAAACTATATCGGGATTGTAAGCGAAACTATTCAAAAAGTATACAAAATTGACTTCCTTAAAATAGGTTGATAAAAATTGTATGTTAACTTCATATTTGGGAGAAATCGTAAATACATGAATGATGGGAATCTAACACATTTAAAAAATTTAATAAAATAATTGAAGTCAGAAGTAGACAGTAGTATAAAAAGACATGAAATGTAAATGATCAGCATAGTCTCGCTTACAGCCGGTAATATTCAATGTTAATTTTCTATATTGTTCCGTATTAATTTCTATTCAAATATTCCACTATTGAACAACAACAGATTTTCGCGCCAAACTTTAATTGTCACCCTTTGTGATGAGGTGGGATGATTGCTTAAAAAATATTATCGAAAATCTTAAATATAGTTCTCCCAATTTATTGAAAACATTAAACGGTTAATTTATTTAAATGCAACGAAACAGAAGGGGAATATTTGATGACAAATAATTTATTTACAAAATGACGTCAAAGCTATTTCGCGTTCTGTGTTTTTCCTCTGTTCCAATCCTTCTTTCTTCCTTATCACCTTATGACTTGTATACAAAGATGAACATTTTTATACAACTCAAACGCATACATTGTGAAACAATTAATTGTTATAACTTACGTATCTGAATTATTCTGTCCATGTGTTTATAATAAAAAAAAAATCATAAAATGAGATAAGATGATTTGGAAGACTAGAAATTGCAAGTCTGATAATTATCATGGTCCCTTTAGGTTTTTTCATAATTAAGCACATTAATCGAGGTGTTGGATCTATTTCATTTTCTGTTCTACCCTGTATACATTCAAAGTTATCTAAAAATATATCTCAAAGAGATAAATCAAATCAACGCTTTGTTCTCGGAATATTACCTGTAGTTCAAAGCTATCTTCTGATAGCACTTTAGATTCAATGTTCAAGTTTTGCGAAATAATGTTTTTTTAAATGAAATTGTAAGGGTCAATTAGGTATTTACATATTTTGCCTTCATTGACTATTAACATGAATTAGATCTAATAAATATGACGGGCAGGGTAAGTGTAGACGATATATTTTCTTATTAATTCAGTGTTGGCGTTATCTAGCGAAAACAATTCATAAAAATTTGAGATTGTTACCTTTGCAAAAATGAATTTATAAGAACTTTGTAACTGTATACGGAAATTTCTCAATTAGTGAAAGACAATGGAAATTAACGCCGAGTAGTTATGCGAAAAATTCACCAAGTTTGCACAAGATTAATTTATGACTGTTAAATATTTGATTAGTTTGCCTCACATTGCATTGTAGTCTTTAAACGTTTCAAATGTCCATCTAATTATTATACTTACCATAAATTATAGATTTATTTTGTGCTATTATATTTACCGATTGCATACAACTATAAAATGTTGTTATTAACATTTTCTATTACTACCAGATTGGCATTGTTTATCGACAGTTAAGGTTTTTTGCTTCGACGCAAAACCCAATATAGAAGTAAATTAAATTAATTGCTCTTCATCCATTTATTTATGGCTGTATTTCTTAATAAACGCATTCTATTGTATAAGATTTACACGTTGTTTTACTAAAACACATTGCTCAGTGATTCACCGTAAAGTAGAGGAATTACTTCTGTTGAATAAATATTAAAACACTATAAGTTTAATTTATTTAACATAACAAAGACATAAATTAATATGCAATAAAGCACGTCTTAGCCAGATATTAAAAACATATTTTAAAGGAAAATAGTTTGAATCAATATTCGATGCTAGAGAATGTTTTTAAAATCTGCTTTTTACAGTTGGCTATTTTTTGATGATATACCCAAATTTCTACTTTTCTTCGTCATATTAACTTGATTCTACTTCGTTGCAAATACGTTCTTTCACGTAATTAAATCGGTGCACCTACAATTCATAAAATTGTTTTAGAGTGTACACTATTTATTAATTTATTTATGGATATGCGTTTATATACTAGGATATTTTTTATAAATTTTCAGTGCTTTGGCCTTGACCACACTTCTTTAAATTAAAAAATCCAACTGTACCATCTATTCACATAAAAAATCTCCTCTCGCAATTTCAATGGGTTTTTCCAAATCTTGCATGAAATCATTTGTATTGAGATACGCCTTTACGAACAGCATGAGCTCATCGGTAAAAACCAACTTAATCTACTCTACTCTACTCACCCTACTACTATTGATATATTTATTTTTTGTAAAATTAATTATTATTGACTATGTTTTTAACTTATTGGTTTAATATGTTTGTTGGACCTCGCTCCATTTTAATTTTGCATTTTTGCCGAAGAATTGTAATAAATAACAGAATTTTTTTCATTTATCTAGTGAGTAGGTAAAATATGTAGGACAAGCAAAGACATAAAAGGGGCAGGATTCTGTGTTGGAACGATACAAAACCATGCTAGATAAACAGGATTTAATCAAAAATTAATTTCACACTATACAGAATATTCAAACTTTATACGTCTATGCTCTTTAACGCCTTAAAAAAATAATACCTGAAACCGGAACATAGCTACATATTATCATAAATCCTATATAATATATAATAGTATTATTATTGAAGCCTCAAAAGAGGCAGCATATATTATCTATATATATATTTTAAACAACGCGAAAATTTGTCGCACTTAGATCATTTCAATGCGATTTTTGGCAATGATAGCTTATTAAAATTACTGTTAAGTAACCGCAAACTTTCGCTTATACAAAGTGTTTCATAATTTTGTGCAAATATTTTAAGGACATATTTTCAAGTTGATTTTAAGGATGTATGTATAGACTAGTAATGTATCCAAAGACTTTTTACAGGTTGAGTCTACCTTGCAAACATAGGTAATTAAACGACAAAACGAGAACTTTTCTCATTTCTCTTCCCAAGTGGAAATCAACAAATATCTATCTTATAAAGTCAGTGTAATAAAACTAGTCTTATCAGTGATGGCACGGATGTTTCCGGAAGGCGCCAAAGAATATTAATATATTTCTGATTCTTAAAGTATTAATGATTTGGGAAATTTGATAAATTAATTGTAGAAGCAAAATATTCTTCTTTCGTTCGAATTAGTTGATAAAGAAAGCAAATGGAAAGTTATTAAGGATATAATATATATTTATATAAATATAAATATTTTTCCTCTCAATGAATTAATTAAGTATGTCAATTATACGATAAACGTAAAACTCGAGCTTTTTATGTGGTTCCAATTAGCTGACGCATAATGTAGTTATAAATTTGAAATGGTGCTTTTGCAAAGTTTAAATACTTAAGCCAAAAGTTGCTTTCTTCGTTTATTTTGAAAATTATTAATACAATTTTTAGAGGAGTTTAAAACTAAAAACAATTATTGGTAGGAACCACATCAAAACAATGATCTAAACGCTTCTTGTAGACGTTTGCACACTATGCGTAACACCACTGCATGTGTAAAACATAAAACATAACGACATAAAATAACATAAATAACCCGAAAAATAGTTAGGAAAAACACTTTAGGATTTATATAATTTACAGAAAATAAGCAAAAGTCAATGCCAATCTGGTTACCCTAAGCGGTTGTTTTGATATACTTATTGAAAATTTTATACCACTATTTCTTACACGTTTCTTCTACTGGTTTGAAAATTATTTTCAAACATTTCAATATGCCAACACGACGATAAAGTCTACATTTGCCCTGAAAATATTCTGCTTAAAAATGATTGTAATTGAACTCATGACCCATTCGATAATCGAACAAATAAATTTAACTAAAGATTACAGAAAATCATGAAGCAGACTGAAGTCATGTGCAGTTACAATTTTTCCAGTGCACTAAATGTACTTTACTGAATAATATGTGTTACTGTGTGAGTGATAAAGTGAAGGATGTTTCCACAGTCTTCAAGGCATGGTTATGAAGGTATTAATGCAATTATAACTTATATGTTAGTTGAATGTATTTACTTATTTTATATATAAAACAATAATGTGTATTATAAATCGACAATGTTGTGTCCTCACTAATTCATTCGTGGATTTTTATCATTCGCATATAGAATCTGAAATCTTGAAGATAAGATACAAGGTGGGTAAGTTAACAATTGACAGTTCTTCACATCTGATAATCAAAAAACTTTTAAACACCCGTGCTTTTATCGTCGAATATTAATCTGCAAATGCTGGATGATTCATTACAAAAATATTCTTGTTTTATATCCATTTGTTTGCAGCAATGGTAACATTTGATTAACAGGTAAATAGACTTCTCGCAGAGAACTTTGCTTTGCAATATTGAGGCTTTCCAAACGCATCAAATAAGTGCGGTGGAGCTTTTGAAGTCAATCAGTTCTTACTATTTAAAGGTTCTTTACACCAATCGATCATAATGTATCACTTTTGAATATTTGAACCCGAATATTGTATATGATTGCTGTGGTAAAAGATGTTTTAATATGTTATTTTAGCATATTTCTTTTAGTTTTTGCTTTTTAAACTTCCAGGTGTTACAGCGTGAAACTTTATCGATATGATTATGAGCCTACTGAAAGCTAACAAATAATCGGGACTAATTTTTACAACCGAAATAATTTATTTCATTCAACTAATAACTTGCTGACTTGCAGCTAATTTTGAATTATCATTAGCAAGAAAGCAATCATGTAATACATTAATTGTATTAACGCAAATACTATATTTACTTACTTTTTTTTAGTTAATTAACTTCTTAATGGTTTTTTACTTGTTTCAGAGATAGACGATACTCATCCATCTCATACACCGTACTCGCACAAAATAAAAGCAGTTTGCTCTCTGGCAAAGAAGAAACTGAACGGAGTATGGACAAAGAAAACGTTATACAAAAGATTCCCAATCTTAAGATGGATACCTCCATACAAGACAGACGATGCTATAGGTTAGTAATATGGAATTAGGAAAACTACTAAAGGCTATTTATCAATTTATCCTTTATCAGCTTTTTTCGGGACCGTTTCTTTACAATTTTCGTCAATTTATTAATTGTTTTCTTCCCAATTTTTAGATGAGTTGCTTAATTACTTGACTATATCCCACACGCACTTTAGTTCTTCGATAAAGTCTCGGTACCGTGGGCATATCTTTTGTTTTGTTATTTTGTTGCTTTTCTCTGATTATTTTCTTTTTCTAATCTGATTAAAAAATGCTTTTGTATTTACTAATGGTAATGCGCTTTATTGGGACTTGATGATCTTGTGTTTACATTTTGCATCCATAATCACGTTATGAAATTGTTTCTTTTTGAAGTCTCTACGTGTTTTTGTTGCTTTCCGTCGGATTAACTCAATGCTCTTTCATATCTTACGATTGGTTTTTTATTCAAATTTGAAAAACAATTACTGTGATAATCGCAGTTAATAACAGTCACATTTTAAAAACATGTTATTTAATCAAAATGTTTGTACTTTTAGGAGATCTTTTGGCTGGCGTCACCGTTGGTCTCACAGTGATACCTCAAGCTCTAGCTTATGCAAATATAGCTGGTTTACCCACGCAATATGGTCTTTATGGTTCTTTTCTGGGTTGCTTACTTTATATATTTCTGGGAAGCTGTAAGGATGTTCCTGTAGGACCGACCGCCGTGGCAGCTTTGTTAACATTCCAATCATTAGGAGGAAAAGGAATCGAACATGCAATCCTGTTATGTTTTTTAACTGGTGTTGTTCAGATATTGATGGGATTATTTGGATTAGGTAAGTTTTGATAGCCAGATAATTACGGAACGTTTCAACAAGTTAGTTTCACATACCCAAAGATTCATTTGGAGAAGGTAGATAATTGGACTTCCATTGATGAATTTTGTAGGTTTTTTGATTGACTTTGTATCTGGACCGGTATCCTCAGGGTTTACATCTGCGGCTGCACTCATTATTGTTACATCGCAAATGAAAGATCTTCTGGGGATTGAAGCGTCAGGAAACACGTTTGTGGATACGTGGAAGAGTCTGTTCCATGATATCCATCATGTTCGGCTGTGGGACACTATTTTAGGAGTTATATGCATTGTCATATTGTTATTATTGAGGGTGAGTCATAATGGATACCAAAAACCTACGTGCTCCATATACAAAATGTTGATTAAAAACAGGGGCAGGGTTTGAAGACACCAGATTTTTTATACTGTCTGCTATTATGCGACACTGAACGGGTCTTAATTGATGTGTTTGTTCCGTTTTTCAGCAGAGTTTTCGACCACTTCAGGTTTATGTTTCGATTATAATAATAAGAATAACTGCGATTTTTTTTGTACGAAAAAGTCGTTTTGAAATCGGTTTCGTTCGGAAAAAACGAAACTCATGTAATTGATGAGTTTAGGCGACCATGTGTCTGCTCAATTCCACTTCTATCCATATAGTTTTGTCTGTTTCAATAATGTTGTTCTTATATCAATGCCTTGAAACCTCATGCGTCTATTTATCATACCTCAAAGCAATTACACAAGAAACTAATTGGCAATTATTTAAGCTGTTAGTTATAACAATGGAGCAATAATGGTAGTATCGATTTCCAGCCAAATGTTGATTAAAAATTGGGATTGTTAATTCGCAATGACTCAGTCATTACGAATTACAAATACAGTTTTATTGTTTCAGACGCGCAAATTAGGAAAATTATTCTCTTTTGAGCCAAATATAACTATTTGCATATTTATGTTTCAATAAGATTTTATTTTCTTTCTCTTAAAAGCGATTTCTATTATTACTGCTTAGAATTGAACCGTCGTTTAATAAAGAGTGTATTACTTGTTATACTTCATAATGAAAATTTCACTTGAACCGCAAATATTCACATTTGCGAGCTTAAGAGATCATTTCAAAATGCTCACCTTGCAAAAAAACTAGACAAAACTTATTTTAAGGAAATGTTATGTTCCTAATTTATTAATTTTGTGTATCAAAACAACTTTTTTTTAAGGAAAGTCTAGCAAGAAAATCAAATTTCATTTTAGCACCATTTATTCCAGATAATATTTGGTACTATCCCAATATTGATTGTTGGTTCAAATTGCGTTAATAAGAAGACAAAGTCTATCCAATTAGTATTGAGTTAAGCAAATAATGTGACTGTTTATTTTCAAGGAAAATGTTCAGCAATATGAAATGCTATACATTTAGTATGGTTGCATAATAAACACTAATTTAATTCAAGATATAACTTTTTTAGATGGTGGCCCAAATAAACATAGGAAGAACCGAAGCACCCACCAAGTCTGACCGGATCATTATGGGTGTTCGGTACATCCCGAAATGCAATTCTAGTGGCTCTGTGCGGAATAATTGGATACATGTTTTGCCGAAATGGTGAGTCTTAGAACATTTCCAGACCGATATTCTTGAAAATCGTCTTGACGGCAATCAGAGGGTCTCAAGTTTCAATTTTGCATACGCAGGTGAGCCACCATTTCTTGTAATTGGAACCGTACCACAAGGATTGCCTGATTTCAAACTACCTCCATTTGGATTCTCCAAGGAAATCAATGGTACCACCGTTGTAACTACGTTTGTCCAAATGATTTCAGACTTAGGAAGCGGAATAATTGTAGTGCCGTTAGTGGGAATTTTGGAAAATATTTCGATTTGCAAAGCTTTTGGTAAGTGTTGTTATATAAAACCTGCATAGTCCTTAACAGGACAATTGCTACTCTCATCAAAAACATTAGATTCACTTCATCGCGTTTTAAGAAACGTCATTATAACTTTTACTTTTTTACTTTTTTACTACGTTTTCTTTTACTAGACAACCAATGAGATTAGTAAAAACTGTTGTCGATTACATGCAGTCATGTACTACAGCCTTATATATGTTTTTGTATTTTATAAACTAGTCGACATAATTTAATTCCAAAGGAAAAGTAACGCAAGACGCTAAAACTTATCAATTCGTGTTTCATCATTTCAAAGTGTTTATCTGATCTGTGACTACAATATTGGGCAAATTTACAAATGCAAAAAAGCACAAAAAACATTTGATTGGAATGACCTCAACAGTTAAAAGCTTTCAACGTTACAATCCGAAGTCACTGCAGACGAAAGACTTTTTCGATTTTAAGGAAGTATTTAAGTGCAACGCATTTAATCAAAGTCGATACAGAATATTTTACAACGAGCTGAAGGAATGCGTTAGAAGGGTGGAAACCAGTAAATGCATTAAAAAACTTGAAAACGTGCGGAAAATACACTTTCTGCAGGAGTTAGAAACAATACTTTTTAAATAAAAAATAATAGCGAAGAAAGAAGCAAATAAGAAAAAATCACAAACTGAGGTTGCAAGTTACTGTTCTGCAAAGCGGGATTTGCATGATCGGTTGAAAATGATGAAGTGGTCGCCCAGCTCAGAACTCGTTTGCAACAAAAACGTTTTATTTTTGCTTTCGCAAATTTTCAAGGAATTTTTCAGCTAACATAGCTGATTTGGGTCTTCCTAAGCGTTTGTAATTTCTTTTCCTGTGTCGACAATAAATGCAGACGAGGAGCGCCTGAAACCATGGTCTGTGAAGACATTATTTCGCAATTGCTAATCTCTGGGCCCTGAGGAGTACCATTTTATTTTATTTTTATATATTTAATTTCAAAATAGCTATGTGGAGTGATTGGAGGTTGAAAGTTCGCAATTTTCCGCACAATGGAAATCCATTTCCTGTTTACTTCTTGTGATATTGCAAACGAGCTTGCAGGAAGTTTTTGTCTCTGTTGTTTTAAATATTATTACGTTTCTTTTGTCATCAATTTAATTAACAATTATTTGAATGAGTTTGCACCACCACAAGACCCGGCCACAGCAAACATTGTATGTTTCATATGGCTACTATAAATTTCTTTCAAAAAGTCTTCTGCAATTTTTTTCGCCAAGATTCAACCGCTCTTTTCTTAAAAGGGCCGCCACTCTAAAAAAATTCCTTATGTCAATAGTTTGCTTTATTTCCAGTAAACTTTTCATTATTTTATCATCGAATAACGTGGCCAAAGAGTATTGGCTTTAAGAGGTTTTCTGAGGTCGGAAAATTAGGTTAAAAATATTTATGCTGTGAAAGTTTTTGTTCAATTGTTGTACACCAGCTTATGAAATGTAGGTACATTCGATTTTCATACGTAGATTTTGGTTTAAAAGTTAAAAAAACCCTATCTTGCGACGTAGCTATCCAGCGACTTGTAATATTGAATTTGGCAGGTTCTTCACGAAAGAATTTTTGAGATACAGATTTTTAAGCTTTGAGAGAGCCTTAAAAAGCCCCCAAAACATATTCCTGCCCTAAAAAAAAGCTGTCTAGACCCTCTAACCACCAAAAATTATTTTATAAATGAAAAGAAAGTATTCAGTTAATTATAATTGTTTTTGAAATTTTAAACCTTAAACGTTAACGGCCTCCTAAATTTTTTTGTTCTTTCTTCTAGATTCTTATGTTAATCATTTCTAGTGAAGCCTGATTATAAAATAACATAACTCGATACGCCATATTTAACAAAAATCCAATATACGAATTACAATGTTAAATAATTAAACGATTTTTCATTTTTATGTTGGTTCTTTTGCAGGTACGTTTTTGGCTCCAACACTTATCAGAAAAATATATGTCCGGAAACTCTTTTCGATAGCTTTTGAGAAATTCATACCCTGACTTAAAGTTCCCGTTTTTTTTTTAATTTTTGAACACTTTTCTTAAGAATCTAACGATTTCTAATGAATCCTAATTAGTGGAAGTCCTCTAGACGGACTTTCAAATTATTGATGATTTCAACGGTTCCTATTTTAAACCTCAAAAGTCGGCTAAATTTAGACATGTTTCTTCTATATCTTGACGATCTGGAATTTCTGCTATTACTTAATTGACAAAAAATAGCTCTTAAGACGTCGTTAAAATTATAGCAACTAATGATATTTTTTCAAGCACCTGAGAAATATGAGATTTTTAAACTACAAGGGCTTGTAGAAGCCTTATCATAAATTATACCTTATACCGAGTTTCAGTTTTAATATTGAAAGACTAATGAAAATTCTATTGTTTTGGTGGTAGCGTTATTAAGAGGCAACAGTTCATATGGTTTTTTACACTAGTTTTCGAGACTTTCGGATTTTATTGCATTTATTTTAAGTGAAATACTAATTGAACCCAAATTCTTCATTGTTCGCCTGGTCAAATGTGTTGAATTCAAATTAAACTACCAAACTCAAATGATCCTGCGTCGAATTTTATGTTGAGGAACTAAAGCTTAAAATGATTAAATGTAATCTACTTCCAGCTATCCAGTTCTTGTCGTTTGGTTTAACCCAGGAGCACATCTGAAAAAACAGTGTCTAATTAGCGATTTTTTTTCAGCAAACGGAAAGCCAATTGACCCAACACAGGAATTGATAGCAATTGGCACAGCCAATCTTTTGAACTCGTTTGTACAAAGTTTTCCTGGAACTGGATCGCTTTCCAGAAGCGCCGTAAATAATGCCAGTGGCGTGAGGACGCCTCTAGGCGGGCTCTATACTGGAGTACTTGTAATTTTGGCTCTTCTCTTCTTCACCCCCTACTTTTACTACATTCCCAAAGCAACATTGGCTGCAGTAATAATAGCAGCTGTTGTATTTATGGTGGAAGTTAAAGTTGTTAAGCCAATGTGGCGCTCAAAGAGTAAGTAAACATTTTCAAGGGCGCTAAAATTAGCGCTAATGTTAATAATTTGTATCTATTTTAGAAAGCGATTTCTTCTTGGGGATTGTCACATTCGTGTCCTGTTTAGTTCTACCTCTGGAGCAAGGTATTCTAATTGGTATTGGAATTAATTTGGTTTACGTACTATATCACGCAGCTAGGCCGAAGATCAGTGTCGAAAAACTATTTGTAAGTATGAATAATTACACTCATTCTGTTTAAAACCCTAAACGCAGTCAAAAGTTGATGTTATCAAAGTATTTTTCCAACGATTTATATTTGAATACACAATGAATATTTGCTTATCGTCTGTAAAATGAACAAGTAATTCGTTATTTTGCATTTATTGCAATATACATACATCTGAAATAAATATGAATATCGATAACAGCAATGGATAATAAATATTCAAAAATATTTGAAGAGCCTTAAAAACATAATGAAGCTACGCAGATTTTGCTGGTTTTTCTCGATCTTCATGAGTAACATCTTTATTATATAGATAGTTTTTTTTGGCTTGATACAGTAGAATTTAAAATTATATATCTAACTTTAAGTCAAAATAAACATAAATGTTTCTTGTTACACATCATAATCGGTTGAAAAAGACTGTGGAATTCGAGTTTTAAAACTTGGCAAAATAATCGTACAGTCATAATTTCAATATGAACACAAACCGAATTAAAAGTGTGGTTTAATTTTTTCCGTAACTTTTAATCAATCATGGGGCTTATCAATATTTTTGATATTCGTTTATTTGTGTTAAATTCTGACGTCAGAATCGGTAGCTTTCTTTTACAATATTTGCCAAAATAGTGCAAACTATATTTCACTTACGTTTCAATACGATTAACTATTATGAAATTTCTATCTGCAAGTAAGTGGAAAATTGACTGAAATTACATCAAAGGTCATTTGACTTTTTCCAATTTCGTAAATATTTATTTAAGAGAGTAGATTCAATGGTGCAGAAAATTTTCTTAGTCAAATTCAAGTGTTACAGATTTTCAATCTAAAGCTATAAAAAGTTATGCAAATCTATTGAATTATGATGATAAATGATTGCAAAATTTTCTATGGCTAATTTATGTGATAATTGAAGCAAACTTTCTAATTTTCTGACTTAAATCGCATTTTCTTATAGTCACGAGGAGGAACTGAGTATTTGCTGCTAACTCCCGATCGATGCTTGATATTCCCATCAACAGACTATGTTCGTAATTTGGTGACCAAACACTCAATTCGTCAGGGTATTCCAGTAGTAATTGATTGTTCACATATTTATGGTGCTGACTATACAGCTGCTACAGTCATAGGTAACTATTAAACAAATCCATCGCTTATTATTAAATATTTTAATCTCTTTGCCTTCACAGTTAGAAATTTTAAAATAATTCATAAATTTTATGAAATACCACTCTTCAAATACTGGATTTTATATAAAAGCGAGTTTTCATTATGCATGATGATGCTTAGCTTGGGGCTTGAGTAATAAGTACTAGTTTCTGAGTTAGAAGGAAGATATTGTTTTAGGACATGCAAGAGAACTGCTCGGAATATTAGTAGCTGCAAGAAAACATTCGGCGAATGTTCAAAGTACTGGTTTTATTTTGAAAATGCAAGTTTCAAGTGGGTTAACTCACATCAAAACTCACGCTTATAAAGCTCTAAAAAATTCATACAATACCGAAGAGTCGATGTCAAGTAAAGCAATTTTTCTTCAATTGAATATTCAGGATCCTTTGAACGAATAAAAGTTTTCTTTGAAATATATTTTTCGTAGAACCATATTAATTCCAGAAATCTTAATTTCTAAAAATCTAACAATCAGTCGCAATCTTACATGTCGAATAACGTGAATTACCCTCCATATTTCTATGCAAAAAACCGTACCAAGGCGAACTTGAATTCTAATTTAAACATTTCTTTAACAAAACTAATGCTCTTTAAACAATAATTAATTTTAATAATAATTAATGCAAGTAATGAAAACTTTTCCAATTTTAAATATTTTTCTGGTTGTTCATTGCCATACTTTGATATGATTTTTTATTTTCAGAAAGTATTACTTCAGATTTTGCGTCAAGAGATCAACCACTTCTGTTCTACAATCTGAAACCTTCGGTGAGTTCTGTTTTCGAAGGACTTAGCCCGAAGGATTTTGTGGTTTTCTATAATCACGATGAAGTTGACGAATTATTGAAGAACCGATCCTGCATTAAGAAACAAATGGAAATAATGGATTAATGATTTGACTATTAAATTTATTATAGTCGGAACTATTCAATGCAATCCTTAGTAGCGTAAAATGTTGGAAAAGAAGCACATTTTGAAAGTTTCTAATAAAGTAAAGTGTTACTAAATATTATTTGTAAGTGAAGAATCGCAACAACAAAAAAATTAGAAGTAGAAAACAGTTATTTATTACTACAATAATATCTAATAAGGACATCTTTAAACGTTGAATTTTCGTTACACATTCATAGTATACAGGGTGTAGCAGTATATACATAATTTTATAATCGATAGATTTTAAATCGGGTGCTGGGGAAGACAAAATATAGATCCGTAAGCACTTCAGTATCAAACTACAGGCCGTTGAAGCTGCATAAAAGTTTTGGTTGCATAGTTCTAAATATGTTTTACGAGTTTTATGAGAGCTTCTGCACAAAATTATATAAGCCAAATTTCTGAATAAAATTAACATTTTTCGTTAAAAGTCCGATAAAAATCATTTAAGAAGATTAATAGTTTTATCAATTTCACGAATCATCCTTCTCTTCTTGTTCACACAGTGGCAGAATCACATTCTTTCGCTAAATAAGATAAACTAGTTAATTTTGGAAAGGAGTTCAGAGGAAGTAAGTTATTTCGAAACATGCGAGTATGAACATTTTCTTTTAAAAGGCTATGAAAAATATTGCGTTCACGACTAATCTCATTTAAAATAAGAACCGTTTTTAATAGTTCCTTAACTTAATAGAACACATTTTTATGCCCGTTTTATTAACGTTTTTCTACGAATAGTTTGTTTCGCATTTTTGACGTTTTTTCTAGGCAAAAGTAAATCTAGGCAAAAGGTCTAGGCAAAAGTAAAAATTTTTTCATTCGGTTTATAGCTCAGCAAGAATCTATTTTAAGTGTATCGATTATAAACCAAATGTTTGGGTATGTTTCTCGGATCGGATAAGATCACACTTATTATAACATATATTATTTTAATTGTTTCCTTATCTTAATCATTTTATAATTACGATTATTGTGTTTTTTAGTGCTTATTTATATTTTTAAATATTCAATGATCTGTGATATTGGGGTTTACAGCCTCGTTTAAGATAGATATTTTTATCAGTAGTTGATCAATAGAACATTGTAAATAGAGGATTATAGAGTTTTATTTTACAGTATTTCCATACCATATTACTTATTTCACTCTATCCCGAATATAGATTTAAAAAAAAAGATGAAAATGTGCACAAGAGAAGTTCATCGTCTGACATATTGCTTTGCGAAAAATGGTTCCACAATATCGTTAGATCGTTCTCAAATTAGTAATGTATTTTTCTTATTTTTAAGTTTTTTGAAAAAAATATATCAACGTAAAAGAAAACAGATTATCATCGAAATTCTTGCTTGGAAAGTGATAATAACTAAAATTTTAAATGGAGAAGAAAGTAAAAAGTAAATTAAACATTGAAAAATATTAACATTTAAAAGCAAAAAAAGTAGAAGAGCAAAGGAATCCAATTTATGCCAGAAATTAAATCTTTATACACAGCGGTGAATGCGTTAAGATTTTCCATACCAATTATTTAAATGTAGTACAGGTCAGGTATTGTCTATTTGATTTCGTCATCTAACTCATCTAGATTACATGCTCTACTAAGACCGGGATCCGAAAGAAGACAAATTCAAAACATATTTTGCTTACACCAAAAAAACTGGAGAGTTTTGAATTTTTTATATAAAAATATTTACAAATTTAAAAGTGTAATAATGATTTCCAAGCTCTATATAAAGCGTTTTGGGATAAAGTACATGAAACTGCCTCGTTGAGCTACTTGCCCCAAACATTTGTTCTTAGAACCATTTATTATAGGATTTTATGCAGCATTGAAAGGAAAAGCTTTGCCTTATTTAACTGGCCTTGTAATTACACCATTGATAAAAATGTATTTTATACTTATAATAGCATTCATGCTTTTTAGCGAATTACTTCAATAAAAACTGACGACAAAAAATTTAAATATTTTAATCGCTGGGAAACAACAATTGATTTACTCTACAAAAATAGGTAAAATATACATTTAATATCCATAAAATAGTTATCAAACTATTTAAGCAACTGGTGCAAATTACGCATATGAATCAGCAACAATATCGATTGGAAATAATATAGAAATATTACAATAGATTAATGAGAATCAAATACGTTCATAAAAAGTGTGCATTTTGCATTTATTTTCAGTGCATTAACAACTATCGGTTTAGGGTATTTGTCTAGAGATAATTCAGGCAAAGTAATCCAATAATCCTTAAAGGCAGTTGCGATTATAATAAATGTATATAATTTTTACAAGTATTAATCGCGTACCTTAAAATATTAAAAATTTAATTAATTAAAAAACATTTTTATAGAAACAACTACGTCTTATTTGTTTTCTGTTCAGAGTGATTCTTGAACATTAGTTCCCTATCTAGGTGTAGGCCAAAAGATTCAATCATGTTGAATATCTGTAATATACCCTCATAGAAGGAAATATCTCTAAAACCTCTAAAAGCCACCCGGTTTCTCAATATTTATTACTTATTAGCGACTTTTTAGTTTATCGCAGCTTTTCTGCTGCAGCCTTTTAAGTTTATTTGTAACTTTGATGTTTAATGAATACACATTACCAAAAAAATAATATATTTTAATAATTGCTACAAAATTGTACCTAAAAATCTAAAATCTTACAAATATTATGACATTAGGGACCACCAAGTAGATAATCAAAAATAAATCTTTAAATATGTATCCTTTAGATGATTACCCAATTTAAAAATCTTACTCTAATATTTTCCTATACTTTTGAAACCAAAGCGACATCAATTAAACTCAATAAATCTGCATCATTTAAAACTTTTAACACATAGATGTTTTTTAGAGATTTTTATGTTAAAATATTACTAATATACTAATTGAGTTTCCCAATATGAAACATTATAATGAAGCATGCCGATCAAGAAATGCACAATATATTCGTTTCTTTTAAGGTGTTAATTCCACTATCTAATTAGGAGTAATAAAAAATACGACAAATACCATGAGAATAATTTATGTATAGGAAGAGAATCAAATCGGTTGCTTTGTTTTAGCAGAACATGAATAATTGGATTAGAACTTTTAGGTGATTGAAAATTTTAATATAATAGCTTTTATTATTTCTTTCCCATGATTTTTTCATTCGTCATAGGAATTCTACACAATATCATTTAATTTAAATTGAGAATGACTAACATTTAACAGAAATCTGGGTAAAATGGTCTGGTAACTCATTGGGAGTTTTTCATCAACATGTACATAATTCCAAGGATACGGTAATTTCTATTATTCGTGTTAAACGTTTTTACTTAAATCTAATTTGCATTCGACAGTTGCAAAATTCTAATAAAGGAAATAATATACAATTGAACGAAAAAAGCAGATGAAAAAAGCCAGTTTCGCCATTTTATTCAACGCCTTCCACTTTCAGATTATTGTTATGGTTTGTTTGGAAATGGAACTGGTGAATGGGAATTATGCAAAATTATTAAAAATAGTAAAGAGGTGACACAGAAAAGAATCAATTAGGAAAGTTTCATAACAACTGAGCTTTTTGTCGGGCATTTTTTGACTGAAAGCGACTGTATCTCTTAGTAGTGTGTGTTAAATCAAATTTTCAAAAGAAATATTCAGGGTTTCTTCAAACTAGTAGATTTTTAAATATGAATAATTATTAAGATATAGGAGAGTAAATTCATAAAATTGTAAAATAGTTCGATAGCGAAATAAAGAAAAAAAAAACAGCTTTGTTGTGAAGTCATCAAGTGCGGCAATGTATTACGTTGAATTAGGTTAAAAATAAAACAAATTGATAGCAAGCAAAAGGAATTAGAACCATCAAACATTACACAATAGAATTTGTTACTATCTAAACACTGTTGATTCAAATTGGAATGAATGTTTTGAACGAAATGTGAAACTTTTCAACGCGGACAATACTGGAAATCAGTCTGTTGAAATCTTCAGAAAAAAACTTTTAAATTAACAATTTTTTTTCGGAAAATGTGCCTTTTTCTTCTTGACCAATGTATAAAATAAATAGCAATAAGCAAAAGTCTTTAAACAAGAATAAATTGTCCCATTAAAGCAAAAATGAGACATTTCTTTTTATAGCAACGTTTTTTAGCAGAATTCATGTTATTGACTATTTCCTTTAATTCTATTATAATAAAGTAGACAGGGAATGATAATTTGAATTTACTTTTTACTATGCGGTTTTTGCCTTTTTTATTAGCGAAGTTTAATTAAAGCTATTATATTATTTCGCTTTCACTGTTAGCACTTTTTCAATTGCAGCAAACTCAATGCAGAGAATCTAATTAGCTCGTCCATAAATGCTAATTTATGTGATAAAAAATCCATACAAAAACTAGTATTTTCTAGATTCGAATATTTAAAAATATATATTCATAATGGCATACAAGCACGGTTTAAATGCCCATAACTACGTCAGTTTTTCTATTTCACAATTTCAAACCAGATAATTTTGTCTTCCTTTGAGGTCATTGGTTCTAAAGACAATCAGCCTCTGGCACGTTTACTTGCAGTTGTTTATTCACTACTTTACACATTTTTATTGTTCGATTTTGTGGGTTTTTTAAGTTACGATGCTTCGAAAATATGTATAATAGAATGGTTTCTGAATATCTGTAATATGCTCTGCAACGTTCGATCAACTTGAAGCTTATACATTCATGCGTCTATTCACGAATGAATTATTTAGATAAATAATTCATTACTCACTAATCAAAATATTCATTTATAACTACATCTAATTACTATTGCAGCCAATTATTTGAACACATAAAAGAAAGCAAACAACATCATAAGTCTGAAAGTGGGTAAATAATTCTATTGACTCCTATTTGAACAGAGAAATTTGAACAGACACAACACTGATGTTATATTAATACTGCGAAAAACTTTCTAGAAAATGGCTTTGATTGCATTTTTTCATTTTTTGTGTGAGGTTTAAAACGTTCGAAAACGTCTATTCCTATTCAAAATTAAATAATAAGATATTATCTAATTGAAGTAATTTAACAGAACCAGAGATAAATAGGCTCCACCTGACCGAAGGTGAAAATTTGCATGTTAAGGTTAAGGTTCCAATCCCCATTCAAGGCGCAATTCATTGAAACCTGGCAGTCGCAATTTTTTTTTAATTATCTATGCACATGAAATATCAAGACTGTTTTACTTTCTTTTACATTGTTAAGGATGACTGAAATAAGTGGGTCCATTTGAGAAAACCGTTTTTTTATAGCCTTTTTATTCTTCTATGTATGGTGAGCAATATCAAATGCATCTTATATTTTTAATCTACTGAATTATTAGATTTTAAATATTTTACGATACACATATTATCAGATGCATAAAATGCAAAAAATACAGATGGAATTTATGGTCTATGTGAACAGACCGAGAGAACGGAAGTTGTGTCGTTCTAAAATTAAAAATTAACATTTTTGAATGATTAGTCCTCTCATTAGAGCAACAATCAAAACAATTCTACGAAGTGGCTTCTTTGTCTATTTTTTTGACTCTACTGATTATAAGTATTTTGCGAGCTCGCTACAAAAATCCCCTTGAGCCTCTGCCTAAACTTTTGGTTGTTTTTTTAAATATATTGTGCATTTGGGGAATTTCCTCCTTTCGTCGTTTTCCTTTTGGTTTTTGCTATACTTTTGGATATAAAAATATAAGTAATTATGTCCAACATATTTGGGTTGTTTATCATATTCAACGTTTGTTCAATTGTGTCCTTTTAGAATAAGCAAATATAAATTAGTTACTAAAAATTGGTGAAAGTTTTCCCAAAGTTTGTATTGGTAACTTGTATGTGTATAAAGCTAGATATTTCGTTAAATGAGTGCGATTGAACAGAACTGGAATGTCTCGAATAAGAAAAGCACATTATTTCAGTACTTCTTTTTAAGAAGTAAAAACTGTAATTTTCAGATTAAAATCATAAGGATAATTATGCTTTACCTCGTCATTCAATGGTGATAAAAATGAGTTTATTTAATTCTACGCAAAATCACTGCTCAAGGATAGTTTATACTTTCTCTAGGTAA